CAAGACAACAAATGTTGCCTTTTTTATTTGTTTTCGATTAGCCCTAATTTATTAATTTAGATCTTACTTTAGCATTTTTGATTTTTGATATTCGTTTTATAAGTGCGCTTTCGCTAGTCTCATTCGCTTCTCCTTGCGTTTTTGACCAATACTGTATTATTTCGCACGACTTTTAAGCTTTTTCCGGCTGAATTTTGCATCTCGTTGAATCGCCTTTTCCAACATCCTTTTTCATCCCATGAACGCTTACTTGGCAAAACTGAGTAGGAGACCCCGAATCTTGACACAGATGCGTATCAGGTTATGTTTATCGCTAATTTACTCATGAGCTCAAAAACTGTCAAAAGTTTCCGCGTATCCTTCCTTATCACAAAAATTACCAAGGCGACGTCCAGGCTTCCGATGCGAATCTCCTTCTCAAATCTCGCCCGAACTGAGTCGCCGTTTTTACGAGCAATAAGCATTAGCTGGCATGAACATTAGTGAGAGACAGTTCCTTCTTTTGCAGCTTAAACAAGCAGAATGAGGTGATTTAATCCTCGGCACCCCAGTACCAATTTGTTATTGAAGCTAGTGAACCGATTCACAAAGTAATACTTTTTCAGCAACATTCGTAATCTGAAGGACTCCTCTACAGCGTGGACCAGGTCTCAGAAGCGGACTGCACGGGCAACGGTTCGAAACTGTTACACCATGAATATTAAGCAGAATTTCATATCTATCAAAAACTGATCCTGCACCCATAAAAAGCAGTTCGTTTATAAGTTTTGAATAACTGAAATTAGAAATTTCCAGAATGCGAAATTCGGCCCGGACAATTAACCTTCAGATAGATTTGAAGTCGAAATGCATGTTTTAAGAGTCAGCAAATTTAAAAAATCAGAACTAACAGAATGTAACAAATTGACATTGCAAATACGATAAGCAGCTAGAAATGTACACAGAAATAAACCACAACATACATGTATCTGAGTTTTATCCATAAGCCATACGCCTTGTTTTTAGCAGGCGGCAAAGTTGTCGGAGGAAATAAACATCTGACTAATTCAAAATAATTTCATCTGGACAAACTCATTTTAACTGGACAAATTCTGCACTGGACGAAAACAGTCGAACTGATTTAAAGAAAAGTTTAATTGGTGATTATTAATCTAATTGAAAGGGGCTATGAACTTATCTCAACAATAAGCCAAAATTGACTGCACAGATTCAAATCGAAAAGTCCTAAAATGAAACGATAAGAAGTATCGTAAATGGAAAGGAACAAACGTACCTTCTGAACTGTCGTGAACATGTATAAAATAAAACGTGCTAAGTGTAAATTCTTGCCATCAAATTCAGTAGGGGTTGCTGGATGAGGCCATTTTCAGCCAAAAGTGACAAGAGATAGAGAGAAATACTTTGTCAGGACCATTTCAAAATCCGCATGATCATAATAACAGAAAAAAAATTTGATAATGCTCGACTTTTACTGTACTGTGAGCAGTTTTAAAAAAGTAGAGAAGCTGAAAAAGGATAGGGACGGCGCCCATATTTGCATTGCCCTTCCTTTTCAGACCTGGATGCGTCATATATACATAGTCAGACGAATCCGATGACCGCTCTGTCCTTTGGCATATTTTCTATCCGAATTTCTTCACCGGGTCTCGTGGAATGTATCCCTGCAAGCAGCCAACCAATCAGTTAAAGACGAACTTTTATGTTT